GTTTCAAGAATTCTAATAAAGTACTAGCATGACTGCTTAAGTTAAAAAAAAAAAAGAAGCTCCTAAAGGCATCTTTAACAAATTAATAAAAATATAAGCAAAATCTTATTTTAACTTCAAAAAAAAATAAAAAAAATTTAAATTTAATTATAAATAGAACTATTTATTATATAGATTTTTATATATAATAAATTCATATAATTTTTTTATAATTAAAAAACTTCTATAATTGTTTAATAATTCTATTGTATTAGGTTAAACAATTTTATTATCTTTTCTTTTATGCTTTAATTCAATTATTTTATATATATTTGCATATAATTAATATTATTTTCTATATATATATTTGTAATTGATTTTATTTTATTTTATTTTTATAATGCCAAATTATAACTTATACTTTATTTAGTTTTTTTATATTACTATTATATATAGTTATATTATATTTGTGCTACTAGATTACTATTTGCTTTAAACACTCAATATAACATTATATCTACATTTTTCTATATATTCTATTTTTGTAATCTTCATTATATATTTCAATCATTATTATTAAACTACTAGAAAAGTTGTAGATCATCTTGTTATACTTTTAATTTTTTCTACTTTTCTTATCTAGCAACCTTTTGTCTACTATCTGCAGTAATCCATCCTTTTCTCAAATTAGTTGACTTTGACAGTTTTTTACTTTATTTATTACCAATTTGGTATATACAGTCTAATTTACTTTCTAGTACTTTTGATACTATGACTAGATTTATTGAGATCTAAATTATTACTCTGCAGTTTACTATATACCCTTTTCAGATATACTTCTATAGTTGATTTAGTCTGCAACTTGATTGTATATGTTTCTTACAGACTTTTCTGTGGATGTACTGCTGATTATATACTAATATACTACCAACTTGGTATTACAAGAAGGTCTAAAACTTTGACTTATTATGTATAAATATAATGAACATCATTTAAGTTGTGATGTATGACTATTTGAGAAATACTATTCAAGTTACTTTTAAAGATATCTGCCTAAAATGTTCCAATTTTGGTTAAACCAATTTTTTGTCACAGATCTTCCCTGCATGTATTACATTACTTACTACTTCAATTTAGTTACATGATACTATTCTTTCAATTAAATACTTTATAAGTTGGATACAAAAATATTGATACTATCCTGTTTTTTGAGAATTTATATATACAATACTATTGTTAATCAAACCTTCTGTAATGCTACTGTCACACATAGTGCTTTTACTCTGCAGAGTTAGTTTTTTTCTGAAAAAATTCTAATCTGTTCTTGTACTTTACCTTGAGACTTTTTACAGAGTTTTACATTCAATTTGCTTCTTATAGATTACAGAATTAAAATCTTAAGATTTGCCTTTAGTTCAACTTGAACTATTAATCTTGTCTGTAAAAGATTAGCAACTTTATCATTAAACTATAGGGCCTAATCCCTGTTTTGATTTTAATAAATAGGTTTTACTTATATATATATATTGTTATTTCTTAATGTTTTATATTGTATTAATAGATTTTGTCTTCATATTTAGGTTTGAATATATTTTTGTTTAATAAAACTTAATTTTATAATTAATATTAACTTATTATAAGTTATATTGTTTAGATGTATAATGTTTATTTTAAAAATAATATTTGCTTTTATATATTATTTAAAGTAATGTGAGAATTATTATTATGTGTAATGATTATATAATTGTTATTATTTTTTATAATACTAGGTTATGTATTAATTAGATTTGTTTGGTTTATTGTATTGTTGTTGTGATTTATTATAAGTATAATCATATAAATGTTTATTAAAAATAAACTGATTTTTTTGCTTTTCTAGTTTTGTTTGTTAAAAAGTGTCAAGATTTTTTATTATTTATATGCTAAATCTTTTTTAATTTTACTATAATAATTGTAAAAAAAATTGCTTTTGTTAATATTGTTTTTGTTATTTAGTAGAATATTTGTGATTGTTTTGCATATTGAGAATTTTTGTCATTATAAAAATAAAGACAGTTATAAACCTTATTGATTTTAATATATTTTTTTTTGTTTTCAGTATAAAATTTTTGTTTTCTTTTTTTTTCAGTAATGATATATCTAAATTTTGTTCAAGCTTAATGTATATGTTAATAATAGGTTGTTTTACAATTAATATTATTATGCTGTTTTTTTAATTAATTGAGTTTTGTGCTTTTTCTTTTTTGTTTAGTTATTGTTTTGAGATCTATAGAAAGAATACAAAAGAATGATTTTTTTTAAAAAAAAATTTAAATCCAAATTTATTTAAAATTTATTAAATTTCAAAATTCATCTAAAATTTATTAAATTTAAATTGAATTTTGCCTAAATTTTTTGCTATCAGAGAAAATTTAAAATTTTTAAAACTAAATTTTTAATGGTCCCAGTTAGGATCCGGTTCCTAACAATAAGATTCGAAACTAATAATAAGATCGTGGGACACATGAAAAATTTGCTCATTTTCTGAAATCTCTTGGATTTGGAACATCAATTTGAAAATCGAAATGTAATTTTCAATATTAGATAATTCATACGACGATACTGAAGAGATTTCGGGAAAACAAGCAAATTTTCAAATGTCCCAGAATTTATGAAAACAGTTACAAATTCGAATCTTATTAGGATCTGAATCCAGATATTAACTCTACTGAGTAATATATCGATATCTACTGATAAATACTCTACTGTGTAGGTATTACTAGAATTTCATCCTTAACGTGATGATCAAGATAGATTTTACTAGAATTTATCGCGGGTTTCAATCTTTTCTATTAATATGAATGCTTAATTGACAAACGATATGATTATGATAACTATGATAACTCCGCTTCGATTCTTTATGATTTTATAAAATCACGTCATAGTTGCACACTGATTTTTTTTTGTAAACAAGAGGATGTCCCCTATCCATGAACATGCAAGAGCTAATAAGAAATTTATCAAACAAAAGCAAAATTTAAACAAGAAAGTATCTTCATTTCTATGGCTGTCATCTCATCAAAAACCGATTTCCAAACAACAAATAGGGTCAAAGCAATTGGAATCTGTAGTTGTGATTGATAAAGATCCTCCTGTACCAGATATTATTGATCATAACTTAAACGGTATTCTCTATTTGTTTTTTTTGTCTAGTATTTTTTTTTTTTAAAAAAAAGATCATTGATTTTCTTTCATTAAAATAGTCATCTTTGTCAGTTTATTTTCTGGAAAGAAAAGTGTCTCAACTGGACACCATTTCTCGTCGCCTTTTAACCATTTCTATAGTTGCTTATTTGAAAGTGGTACCTATCGCTATTATTAGACTTATCATTAGTATATTGTTGTAAATGGGAATGAAATATAAATAGGTTCTGAATCTACTTAGATTGAACAGAATAACTATACTAAAAATTCTAATCATAACCTAAAAATTCTTTTGTTCTCGCTTACGACATATATTATTCGATTATATGATTTTTTTCTAGTATACATTACTATATTAGTGTTAATCATATTATGAATTTATTACCTATATACTGTATATATTGATATCTATATCATTCATTCATCCATTCATTCTATCTTTCCACATTGTTATATGTAAATTTTATGAATAGGATTGACCAATGGAGAAAAGATTACATACTTGGATGATAAACGTCTTGCAAAGGATTTCAAAATCGGAATTTTAACTTTGTTGCATAGACCAAAACATCGATCCAAGGTAAAGTTTAGAATAAGTTTAACGCAAAACTTAATTATCACATTTCATTCTAGTTCATATATTTAATTTGTTAAAAAGGATAAAATATCAATGGAAGAAATAATCCTCGTTATGCCATCTCTCAAACAAAAAGTTAAAACCTATCGACCAACGTTCATATGCTTTAATGGTATGGCCGCTTATGAAGCATTTATGGAACATGAATTTCGTTCCACAATGAATTTAAAAGATTCGCAAATGAATGTGAAGAATAAATGGAAATTTGGATTACAACCCAATGTTATCTATTGGGATACCAAATCATCATCGAGTTATAAAAATTCTCGAAATAATGCGGATTTATCAAATCAAGCTGCATCAGGATATACAAAAATATTTGTAAGCATGTCAACAAGTGGTCGCGTTATGAAAGATCAACGAGAAGAACAAATCAAATATTTTAAGGAATTAAAGGTTCTTTTAAATATTGAAAGTGAAATACAACATGGTTCAGAGCTTCCTGAAGTTACCGTAGTATCAGATCAAAGGAATAGTAATCAAGGTATAAAGGCGAGTAATTTTAACTCATTAAAGAATATTAATGATGTCAAAACTAGTTGCTACTCTGATAAAGTTGAAGATGAAATCATTAAAATGATTCAGGATTTCCAAAATGAATTTGAAATGGATTATTGCGTCTCATATTTTTTAGATGACCAAATTATATGGAATGACGTTGATAACGTTCCTTGGGGTAAACAAGGAGGAATAAAGTGGTATTCTAAGCAAGGTGATAATAAAGAACAATGTGATCAAGATTTTATTCCACCTAAATCGTTTAAGGCTGTAAAGTGGTAATAATATGCCTTAAGACGCTGCAGGATGTATTTGTATGTAGGTCGACGTGTGATAACGCATAGTAACGTAATCGAGAAGAAAGTCTTGTTATTTTTTATAGTCTAGTTCTGTATTACTGTACTATATTATCAAATGTAATGTAATTATGCTATATAACTGAGATTAAATGGATTAATTAGGGTATGCAAACTTATACTTTCATATCACCAACTAACCGCTGACTCAGATTTTAATTTTTCTTAAAAAAATTTTATTTAAAATCTTATTGACATACAATCCGAATCCCCGGTAAAAATTTTTACATGCTAAAAATTTTTTTTTTAATAATATCGATATGCGAAATTTTTATTAGGTATGAAAGGTGGTTTATTGTTTATCGTTTCACAGAATTAAAGACATTTGCGCGATGCAAACAGGGAGTATAATATGATCATTAGACTCGTATTAAATTATTTTATGCAATCTATTTCAAAGCATCGGGTATTGTTCATCTTGTCAATCGATTAAACTTATTATATACGTATGAACGAAATCATATGATTAAATATGAGATCCTTTGAGTAGTGATACATTGGTAATCTGGATAGAGGTAAATAATCTGTCGGTTTCTCACATAAGATACAGATATAAATGTTGCAATATAGGGCGACTCCTTTAACAAATATTATTTAATTGATTATAAAAATAAAGTTGGATCATATATGCCTCATGACGTATATAATAAAATAAATTATAACATGACATTTAGGTCGACTCGTTCGAAGCGCTAAATGCAATGGTAGACGATGAACTTTGGAATGAATATAATTAGGATGGAATAAACTAATGCAGGGAAATGAGGTAAGACAACTTGCCAGAAGCGTGACTATGGGTCTTGTAATAAATTTATTATAGCAATCCTTACCAACCGCTCTCGATGTTATGCCTTTTTATAAGTATGATTAAAAGAGACTTTAATCATCCCTTAATCTTTCGCTTAGAATTTCAACACACTGCCACGCGTATCTTTCATTGAGAATATTTTAGCTTACGTCTGTTTACTCGACCGAAATTATCAATTCGACTGACAAGGCTCATGTATCATTCAAAGCCTCGACATTTGTAGCGTCTTAATTATTTACTCACAGGATTTATAGAGTTTTATCTTTATTTTCGGAAATGTCACTTTCTCTCGTAACAATACTTAAAGATGATGAAACATCATATAAGTGCAAAGATTACTAGCGATAAATTAAGAATAACCTAAAACTACAGTTTATACTATCTATGTATTTCAAGTAGGTATTACCAAAACTGACTACAAAACTTTTATAATAAGAAAATATGCTGTGTAAATCTCAGGCACGTGATGATCGACAGGAAATTGACCAATAGCTAATCACTATTTGGTGTCAAAGCAAACGTTCGTTTTGCAGCTCAAAAATCTGTATAAGAAATCACCTTTAGCGCTCTAACAAAAAGCCTTTCTTGGGCGATTTTAATACTATATCCCGCTAACACCTAACCCTAAAGTAAAGCTGTTACGTTGGGGAAATCTATGAGTCCATGATCATCATGTAACACTGAAGCGATTGTTTACAATGACATGAATATGGTATAGCATTCTAAATCTTTCTACATAGATGCCTTTTTAGACCTTCAAATGATGGCAGACAATAATCAAAAAGATGCTTTTTTTTTGACCTTTAAATGATGGCAGGCCATAAAAAGGCTTTCGTATGTTTAAATCAATTTAATTTTACATTATTTATGGAGAATAAACAAAAAAGAAATGTATAAAAAGTTTTATTAGGGTTGTAGGACTCTATTAAAAATAATCAAAATCCATTCTGGTTTTAGAGAAGTTAGCGTAATAGCGACTTCTTAAAGATGGATAGAATTAGGCTATTACCATACTAACTTCTCTAAAGCAACAAAGGATTTTGATTATTTTTAATATTGGAACTCTACAACCTTAATAAAAGGTTTTATATACTTCTTTTTTGTTTATTCTTCGTAGTTTAAAACGTACTTTAAACTGTATAATGTAAAATTCAATTGATTTAAACAGCCAATCATACAAAAGTCTTCCTATGGGATAGTGTTTTTCCAGATCACAGCCGATAATCAAAAAAAGATGCTCTTTTTAGACATCCAAATAATGGTAATCATCAGCGTAATTTATATTCTTCCAACAATGTCTTTTTTAGACCTTCAAATGATGGCAAATATCAGTATAATTTATGTTCTTGATCACAGACGATAATCAAAAAAGAAACAGGTTATACAAATTTAATGAATCATTTACAGTTAATGGCAATCAGTTATTTCGGTTTTTTAAAATTTTACATTATCGCGAAATTTATAGTAAAAGTATTAATTGCAATTATTCGCAATTATCATAATTGTTTTTATAACAATTTTAGTTGATCGTAATTACATAAAAATTATGCTGCAATTAATTTTTCAGTACCCTTGTTAAGAATATGTTTAACTATTTATTCTGGTTTAATAGTATTAGCTTCATCTCTTAGAAAACAATTAAGAAAACTGTTCCTTCTAATAATATTTCAAAAAATAAAAGATTGATAAAAAGAATTTTTGGATTCAATTTTTTCAGAGAATTATAAGGTCTGACTATGTCCTCGATTGGTGGTAACGCTGGGAGTTTTATGTATGTATGTACAAGTTTGTAAGATGCCAAGAAAAAACCAAGGGATCATTAGTATATAGATTCTTACAATATAAAATCTAACTAATTTGAGCCAATTTAATTCTAACCCTAACCAAACTTTAATGATTTATAACTTGCTTAAATTAGTTCAAAATAGGTAATTTTTATATATTATAATTGTATAATAATTATATAATAATTATATATATATCCTCATCTATACTAAAGATCAACCAAAAAACGAAGACTTCGAGCTATACCGAATTCATTCCTGACCGGCAATATATATGATGCATAATTAAATTTATTACATGTTATGTATGTCTCTGGAATCTAGTAAATAAGAAATAATAAACTTGAATCCCGAAGCCTGGTTTTCTCTTGGCATCACTCGTATGTGAATTGTGCATTTAAAAAAAGGTTATCAGAGTAACCATCATGGTTGCATCAAGATAAAAAAAAGTTACAAAACCACAAATTAATATGAAGAATATCAAAACTGTAATACTCATACTGTATTGATAGAAATAAGGGAATCAATTTATTTTATATTTAAGTTATATACATAATTAATTATTTGAGATCATGCTGTAATAAATATGATGCATTAATATTTGTTCATTTTTAATGTTTAGACTATCTTTTCGTACTTACAGCACGTATTACAAACACGATCTAAATGAATGATTTATCCAATAAAATTGTAAAATAATAAACTACCGTTACTATTCATAATGGCGATGAAGCAAATAAACAAATTCATTGATCCGCTTGAATTGACCTGTTCAGTATTTAAATACTAATTTTCGGTAATATGCACTATATTTAAAAATAACATGATAGTACTTTTTTTCAAATTTGGTTAGATAGATTGGAAATTAAATAAAATCACCAAAAGAATTGTTCATTTTCTATGTACTAACTTTTCCATATATAGGTAAAAAATTCTTTTTGATAATATATAGTTATTAGATACTTCGCATCCAATAACTATATATTATACATCTGTTTTCGAACATAATAAATCTTATTGTTAATTATATTTGTGTCATAATAATAATATTTAATATACACTTTTACTAAAACTTACCTGTGGTGTTTTACATTCTCAAAGACTGATTAATTAATTAGTACGTGCTGTTCAAAGTAAAAATACTCTATTATGTTCTCAAAAACCATTCCCAAATTTTAAATATAACCTTAAATACTAACCATAATATGAAAAAATTTTATATACAATTTTTTATTATAAAAACATTAAAAACATAAGATAGATGCAAAACCACTGTAGGTGCGTTTTTAATAAATGTTAACAATGATCCCAAAAGAAAGAATTTTAATTTTTTTTATTTAAAACATAAAATTCTTTAATGCAAGATGACCCAAACTCTCTACTACTCTTTGACCTATATGTAATAAATAAAATTATAAACTAAGGCAAATGTAATTAAATGCATAAACAATTTTTTTCTTTTTCGAAATCACAACACTATATTTTAAAGCTATAATTATAATCATTTGATTCTATAGACAAGTGACAAATTAAAAATTGAAATATGCATAATGCATAATAAACGAGATTAATGATACAATCAACTTAAAAAATGCTTTCATTTGTATCTTTTCTTCATTTTCTTTTAAGAACAAATTCTTTAAAAGAATGAACAAATTTAGATCATTAAGACAGAACCAATAACAATCATAGACAACGCTGCCATGATACCAGAATAATAATCACTTTTTCTAGTCATGATCACAGTGGACGCACCAGAAGTTGAATCAAGTGCGTCAGCTGGTTGTTTACCAGCGTATGCAACAACCGTTTGCTGTTTAGGATCACTAGGATCACTAGAATCATTAGAATCACTAGAATCATCACTTTGTCCATCATCTTCATTATTATTATCTTTAGCAGATGATGGTGGTTGTGAGTTTTTTTGTGGTCCTGGTTGTGGTGTGCTTGGTTGTGATGCGTTTGGTTGTGGTGCGTTTGGTTGTGGTGCGTTTGGTTGTGGTGTGCTTGGTTGTGATGTGCTTGGTTGTGATGTTGGTAATGCTTGTAGTGCTGGTTGGGATGCTGTTACTGTTGGTTGAATTAACGTTCCTTGTGATGGAGTTGTAGTAGTTTGATTCAGTGTGGTATATGTAGGTAGTGTATCTTGAAGGGCTATAGCTGACGCTGGTGAGTCTGTTATTGATGGATTTAAATCAGTAGCACTTGAGACAGAAGTGACAGAACTATAACTTCCGCTATTAGTGGCAGTTAAAGGCACATCCGTATTATTATTATTATTATCATTATTACCGTTTTCAATCAGACCATCAAGACCGGTCGGGGACGTCGATGATAAATCGGTATCAGATGTAGCTGTTGGTCCTGCCAGAGATAATGTCGCATCGTCCACAGTTGTCCCCACATCTTGAGCTTTTATTTTGATGATACAACTCAAAGAGAATAATAAAAAGAATAGGAAAAGGTGAATGATTTTTTTAGAAGCCATATTTAAGGATTAAATAAATGCAAGGATGAAGAGATGGTATCGAGAAAAACTGAAAGGAAAATTTATTAAGAGTTCTGGCCTTAAGGAATGTGGTAAGGCACAGCCTCGAGTTGGATGTCAAAGAAAGGTAGGATTAAGGATGGAGTGAATGGTTTACGGAACAAGAAAAATAAATGCATTCAAAGACCATAATTTATATGTTTTAATTTGTGATGCATCCGTTTGAAAAAAATTTATCTGCATGTTGTACTAACCATAAAAGTACATCTAATATAATTTTAATTATATATTTCTGTTTCAGGGTTAAACCTCAAGTGTCGAGACTTTTTTGGAAATTACGGGTCCTATAAAATCACGTGCGCACCGGGTTTTGACCAATGCCAAGATTGGTCTTTATTTCTGCACAGTAAATTATTGTAATTTTTAATGCTAACTTTTTTTCGTGATATAAACTTACATGTTATTAGAAAAGATGAAGACCATGAATAAAGTTTCACTTTCCGATAAAATGCATTTCATTTGAAATTATCGAAAAGGAATTTATGTCTTTATTAATCTAAAACGGAAATTATTGTTACTTTGAAAAGGGTCTAATCTTTTCGCAAAAAGGTGCTTGACCATTCAGGGTTGATTGTAATAAATTTATTCCTTGGCATATATATATAAATATCATATTGTTTTGTCGGAAAGATGCGGAGGACAATCTCCTTCGTGACATTGGTTGATTGAACGTACTAATTCACATGATTCATATTAGCGTTCGTATCTTCTTGAGATACACAATGCTGTGCATTACTTAGCTTTATTTAATCTTTTATTTTTAATAAAAAAATAACACCATAAATAATAGTTGCCATCATTATAATGCAACTGAGTTTTGTGTTGTGTTGTGATAGGGTTGTAAATTAAACCGATTTTGATATCACCCAAAATCACGTATTTGGATTTAAACTAATCAAAATTTTTCTTTTAAGAATAAATAATACTGTATATCAATAGTTTAACAACGTTTTTAAAGAAAAAATTTAAACTTATCGTCAGTAAAAAATATCATGTACAGTATTATAGAATTAAATACTTGAATCATGACACATATTGCGTTTCAAACTCTACCGTCTTGTCAATCAGACTGAAGATTTCCAACAAACTTAACCTTTTTTCCTTTTTTTTAAAAAAAAAAAATTTAGCATAAAGAATTAAAAAATAAATTACTTATAGCTTTTCTATTATTATCTTTAATTCGATTGGTATTTGTCATTAGTATTTGAACATATAAGTTCATAATAAATTTCATCGGATTTTTTTTCTAATACAATCATATATAACAAAAATAAAAAATTTTTATATTCAAAGCAAAAAAACTCTAAATTGTTCTATTTGCATATATTGTTTGTGCTGATTCTCAAAAATCCATCAATCTCATTTGCTTCATACTGTAATTGCAACATCTTATGTTTTTTTTTATTGTTTTAACATGTTCAAATATTTATAATGTTTTTTTTTTTTTTTTAACGAAAAGCTCTAATACTTTGTAATTTTTACACGATTTGCAATATAGAGATCAATAGCATTTGGGATATTGGTTTTTTTTAATGTTGCAATTGCAATATTGTATATTGCTTTAGTCAACTAGTTAATAGGTATCGCGAAATACAGTATTATAATTTCATATACCGCATAGCACTGCTTATAATATCCCCGAAAATAATATCTTACCACATAGCACCTTCACAAATGAAATTATTGGATTCGTGAATAGTGTCTGATACGTTCAAATTTTAATTCTTGACTAAGACCTCGGATACAAATGTTGGATTCTAATAATAAATGTCACGACTGATGCTGATGCTGAAATTTGGACCTATTTTGATATAATTTTTTTTTAAAAAATTTGGGGTATTTTTCCTTGCTTTTTTTTTATGGTTAAGTTAGTAGTGTTTAGGGTTAGAATTGATAAATAAAGAGTATAGGTGGATTTTAGCAGTGCCTATATTTTCAAATCATGACACCAAATTTCCGCATCAGCCGCGACATTTATTATACCTTCAGAGGCGAACTATAAACATATGGTATTAAATCTGTGTGCAAATTATTATGGATTATCCAAAATGAAAAAAAAATTGACGTAAAGATAATTCAGTCAAACCAATGTTTATATTATTCATTTTTATTATATGAATTACATATATAAATTTCCACTATAATGGACTTTTGAGAATTGTGAATTAATCGCTTTACGACCATTGGTCTGGTACACGAATACCCTGCGAGTCGTTCAAAATATCGAAAAGATTAGGACATTACTTCAATTACGTAATACTATTGCAAGATGAGTTGAAATCCGATACTGTGAAAGCCTGTCACCAAGGTTACAAGTTTATTGCTTACCGGACTCAGACTATCTGATTTGTTAGGGATTGTGATCAATAACATAAATTTAAAAGTTCAACAATAGGTTTTTCCTTCGTGGCACCCATACGTGATCAGTATTTATTTAGAATTCGGTCATATACGTACGTTTATAACGATAAATGGTGAAAACCAGGAATCTAAAAATAACATTCTTTACATAACTAAATGTGGGCTTTTGACCGATCTGATTAGAATAATGAATTATATTGTTTTTTTGGTATCATTTAAAACCCGTCTAAGGAATTCTATTTTTAGACTTTATAATTTTCACTTGGCAGCACCTAAATGAGAACCGAGAACCTAATTTTTCCTCAAGTTCTGATTGGATTATGTAGATGCCGTCTTTGATTGGACAAAGTGAATTATTTCAATTCAAATTAATTATGGGTAGGGGGCGGTCTTTTAAAATTATATATAAACCTAATAGTAAATTTTTTTTATATTTAATTTTATGAAAAATTATATTAAGTAACCTAA